ATCACTACTTCCCTAGGAATGTAAGGTATACTAGGTATAACAGTTGTCTTGGATAAGCTCAACGATATCAGTAAGGAGTCCTTAGATGTCGTGGCAAAAGAGATAAAATGTCAAGAATGCATTGGATGGGACATTTTATCAAACCGAGAGTACCTTAGAGCTATTAGCAATTGGATTGCTTACCTTAAGATATTTAATGATTAAGACAAGCCAAAGCATGCTTAACCATTTCTTAATCTTTGCATGGGATCTCGGAATCATTTTATTCTCGCCCAAAAGAGACAAATTTATCAATGCGTGGATAAAATGCTCAATAAGATTGAAAATTTGCATGAACGCTTTTAAATTTCAACTTATTTATTTATGAATGGTTTTTCATTTCAAATTCTTTCAATTGTAGAACAATGTCTGCAAGTAACTCAAACAACAACCAATTCTATTTACGCTCAATTCTCGACAAGGAGAAGTTGAGCGGGCCAAACTTTCTTGATTGGCAAAGAAATCTGCGCATTGTACTAATGCAAGAGCAAAAGGAATACATCCTTGATGAGGAAATGCCCGACGCTCCCAATGAGGAGGTCACTCAGGCTGCCCTTAACCGATGGCAAAGTGCCAATCGGGATGTCAATTGCATCATGTTGGCCACTATGTCTCCGGACCTTCAAAAGACTTTCTTTGAAAAGGAGACGACTTTTGAGATCATTTCTGAGCTTCAGAATATGTTTCAAGAGCAGGCCCGAACTAAAAGGTTCGAAACCCACAGGCAGATCCTTGAGAGCAAGCTCAAGAAAGGAGAGCCAGTCAGCCCGCATGTCCTCAAAATGATTGGATTATTTGAGAACATGGAAAGGCTTGATGCTGGGTATTTAACTGAGATGGGAATTGACATCATTCTCCACTCACTTCACAGAGGCTATGATCAGTTCAAGATGAACTATAATATGCATAGCATGGAGAAAACCCTTACCGAGCTTCATGGTATGTTGAAGCAAGCCGAGCAAACCCTCAAGGATAAGGGCAAGCATGACATGCTCATGGTGAGGAAGGGAAAGCCATTCAAACTTCCGGGCAAGAAGAAGAGCTTTAAAGGGAAAAACAGAAATTTTCCGCCTAAGTCAAACACTGCCAAGGGCAGCAAGGACAAAAAGGTAGCCTCTTCCAAATCCGATTCCGAATGTTTCTACTTCAAGAAGAAGGGACATTGGAAACGGGATTGCCTCAAATTCAAGGAAGATAAGAAGAACGGCACTGTTGCTTCTTCATCAGGTATTTTTGTTATAGACTTAAACTTCACTAGCAAAACATCATGGGTATTAGATACCGGATGTGGCTCACACCTTTGTTCCAATGCTCAGGGACTAAGGATAAATAGGAGGCTAGAGAAGGGAGAGGTCGAGCTTCGGGTCGGCAATGGAGCAAGAATGTATGCCGTCTCCGTTGGAACTCTCAGTTTGTCATTGCCCTCTAGGCTTATTTTAGAACTTGACAATTGGTATCATGTTCCTAGAGTTACCAAAAACATTATTTCAATATTGGCGTTGGACGCCAAAGGTTTTGAATTTCGAATTAAGAACAACAGTTGTTCATTTTATTTCGATAATGTTTTATATGGTAAAGCATATTCAGAAAATGGTCTTGATGTGCTTTCTCTTAACAAACAAGTCTAACATTGATGATACCGCCAAAAAGGCTAAGACCATCGAGTCGAATCAAACCTACTTGTGGCATTGTCGTCTTGGCCATATTAACGTCACGCATCAAAAAACTTCTACAAGAAGGTGTTCTTCACTCATTCGACTTGGAGTCGTTTGAAAATTGCGAAGGATGTCTATTAGGCAAGATGATAAAACAGCCATTAACCAAGTTAGGAGAAAGGGCAAGTGACTTATTAGGTCTAATACATACGGATGTATGTGGACTAATGAGTACACCCTCAAGACAAGGTTACCGATATTTCATCACCTTCACCGACGATTTTAGTAGATATGGCTATATCTACTTAATGTCGAATAAATCTGAATCATTTGACAAATTCAAAGAATTTCAGAAAGAAGTTGAAAATCAACTTGGCAAGAAAATTAAAGCACTTCGATCGGATCGAGGTGGTGAATATTTGAGCCATAAATTCGACGATCACTTGAAAGAAAATGGTATTCTTTTATAGTTGACACCTCCCGGAACTCCTCAATGGAACGGAGTGTCCGAACAGAGGAATAGAACCTTGTTAGATATGGTTCGATCAATGATAAGTCTTAGTGAACTTCCTATCTCTTTCTGGGGACATGCGCTACAAACCGCGGCACTAATTTAACACTGAACCGAGCTCCGTCAAAAGCTGTTGAAAAGACTCCATATGAATTATGGACTAAGAAACCTCCTAGGTTGTCTTTTCTCAAGATTTGGGGATGCGAAGCATATGTCAAACGATTAATTTCGGACAAACTTCACCCAAAATCGGATAAGTGTTTCTTTGTGGGATACCCAAAAGAAACCAAAGGGTATTACTTCTACAATAAATCCGAGAACAGAGTGTTTGTTGCTCATGATGGTGTCTTTTTTGAGAAGGAACACCTTTCCAAAATGACAAGTGGGAGGACAATCGAACTCGACAAAGTTCGAGAGGACGAGCAACAATGTCAACCTGATAAAACTGACAATCTAAGTGCTTTGGAAGCAGCTGAGAAGATTGGTCAGAATCAAACAGACATTGTAAATGCTCAACCTATTACCCTTCGTAGGTCCCAATGGCAAAGATCTCAACCAAACAGATACCTTGGTATTGTCTTAACCGATGATAAAGACATCCTAGTTATGGATGGAGATGAGCCAACGACATACAAGCAAGCTATGACGAACCCCGAATCTTCTAAACGACAAGAGGCCATGAAATCCGAGATGGACTCCATGTCTGAAAATCAAGTCTGGGACTTGGTGAATTTGCCCGAAGGTTACACACCCATTGGTTGCAAATGGATCTTCAAATTGAAAACAGACAAGGATGGAAATGTATCGATATACAAGGCTAGACTGGTGGCAAAAGGTTATAGACAAGTCCACGGGATTGACTATGATGAAACCTTTTCACCGGTTGCAATGCTAAAGTCTGTCCAGATTATTCTAGTGATTGCTGCATAGTACGATTATGAAATATGGCAAATGGATGTCAAAACCGCCTTCCTAAATGGGATTTTGGAAGAAATTGTGTACATGACACAGCCAGAAGGTTTTGTTGATCCGAGCAACGCTAGAAAGGTTTGCAAGCTTAAGAAGTCCATTTATGGACTAAAGCAAGCCAGCAGGGGTTGGAATCTGCGATTTGATGAAGCCATCATCAAGTTTGGTTTTATCAAGAATCCAGATGAATCTTGTGTATACAAGAAGGTTAGTGGGAGTGACATCGCATTCCTTGTCCTATATGTCGATGACATACTGCTCATTGGAAACAGCACAAAATTACTGGAGTCCGTAAAGGGCTGGTTGGGAAAGTGCTTTTCAATGAAGGACTTAGGAGAGGCACAGTACATATTGGGCATCAAGATCTACAGGGATAGATCTAAGAGGATGATTGGATTGAGCCGGAGTACTTACATTGATAAAGTACTGGCATGATTCAACATGTAGAATGCCAAGAGAGGGCATCTACCCATGTCCCATGGCGTAACTCTCAGCAAGAAACAGTGTCCACAGACACCTGTTGAGCGAGAGAGAATGGATCATATTCCATATGCTTCGCTGATTGGGTCGATCATGTATGCCATGATATGTACTAGGCCAGATGTATCGTATGCCTTGAGTGCTACGAGCCGATACCAATCAAACCCAGGAGAGGCGCATTGGACTGCGGCCAAGAATATCCTGAAGTACCTGAAAAGGAACAAGGATAAATTCCTGGTTTATGGTGGCCATAAAGACCTGGTTGTTGAAGGTTACACCGACGCTAGCTTCCAGACTGACAGAGACGACTTCAAGTCACAGTCAGGATACATATTCTGTCTGAATGGAGGAGCGTTTAGCTGGAAGAGTGCCAAGCAGAGCACCACTACAGATTCTATAACTGAAGCCGAGTACTTGGCAGGTTCAGAAGCCGCTAAGGAGACTGTTTGGATTCGCAAGTTCATCAGTCAACTCGGTGTTATACCCTCCATCAAGGGTCCGATAGATCTCTACTGTGACAACAATAGAGCTATCGCTCAGGCTAGAGAGCCAAGAGAGCACCAAAAGGTCAAACATGTCCAAAGGCGATTTCACATGATAAGGGAATGAAAATCTGAAGGTGAAATCAGAATTTGCAAGATCGGCACGGATGATAATGTGGCCGATCCTTTGACTAAACCTCTGCCTCAATTGAAACACAACAAGCACGTTGAGGCAATGGGAATCAAGCACGTTGGAGACTGGCTTTGAAATTCCCTGTACATGTGTTTTAATTGAACTAGATGTTTTAACGTAACACACTACATTGAAACCATTCATTTATGGAGGAATTGATTTGTATGCAAAATTATCATTCACTCCATTGTTATTTAATTGTGGTTTAGAATTAAATAATGAGTCCGTTCGATTTATGGAAATATTCAAAACAGGGTATCAAGACCATGTCTTGGATAAAGAAACACCTGTGTAAGTGAACTTTGAATATTTAAATCGAAATTATCCCTAATCGAGGTCATCTAAATGATGGACGATTGATGACCACCAGAGATTAGTGTGTAGTATGATTTACAGCACCGTTTCTTGTACTGCTAGGACATGATGGTCATAAATCATTTGCACAGGTGCCAGTTTGGAACTGCGCTGGATAGACCTATGAGAGTACTTTAAGAGATTCAAAATTTTCATAAGTACATTTCTTTTTTTTTTTTTTTGGTAAGCAAGCAAATATTATTACCAAAGAAACAACTTACAAGGAGTTGTACAATACACCCAAACTACACAAGCCAAAAAGGCACACAACCACCACCAACCAGAGGGCAAGCCCTCTCACCACCAACCACAACCCATTAAGGCACACTAGCTCTAAGGCTAAAAAGCCATTTACAATGATTCCTATCCCATTTACAATTAACAAGATGCCTACACCTATCTACTGTTTCTATACAGATCACTTTACACAAAATTTTAGGAAGAAACACAGCTTTCTGCCAAAGGACATGGTTCCTGGCAAACCAGATATGATACACAATAGCTGATAAAGCAGCCATTCCAACTTTCCTGTAAATAGGTTCTTTGAGATGCTTGCACCACTGCTTCCAAATTTCCTCAATGCTGTAAGAAGTGTCTCTAATCTTTAACCAATCAGCAATCAAGGCAACACACCTCTTGCTATAATTGCACTCAAAGAACAGGTGATTCCTGTTCACAATAGCATCACCACACAGCAGACACCTGTTGTCATTACAGATGCCAAATCTTTCCAATCTGTCCCTTGTTTTGAGCTTATTGTGAATTGCAAGCCATGAAATGAACATGTGCTTAGGAGAATTGAACTGATTCCAAACCCAGGATTTCCAATCAACTTCCTGACCAAAACCATGTAACCAGTCATAGACCTCATGAATGACATACATTTTCACAAACAAATTGTCCAAGATAAATTTTTGTGGATATCTCTTCACAAAAATTATAATGAAGAAAATACCAATTCAATTTGAATGGATTCAAAATGATGTTACTACATGGATCGGGATTATAAATTCTTCGAGTTTCGTCTATTAAATAACATTGAAATTTAAGTAGGTGAAAGGTTTGTTTTAAATTCTCAAGTTGCAAATAATTAGTTACCAAGATCTGATTATGAGTTATTAAATGGTAAAATGAAAAAAAATGCGCAATTTGAAGGGCTGCTCCTAACGGACCAAACAAATTCCTGATTGGAATTGGGGGATCTTTTTTAATTGATTCTTTGTGATGTTATATGGAACCTATAACCAGCCCTTCTCTATAAACCCAGCCTGTAACTCATCTTTAACTTTACACAGCTTTTTCCATGCCCAACCAGCATTACCCTTAGGCATATAATCCCACCAATTATGATCTTTCAAATACACAGAGTGAACCCATTTTACCCATAAAGAATCTTCCTTCTTTGCAATTTTCCAGACATACTTTCCTATTATAGCTATTGGAACTCGTTTCCTCTACCATGAGTATTGTGAAGTTTTCTTGTTTGAGTACTAGTCTCTTTGATGTTGCCTAACGTCTTCCGTAATTGGGGATCATAACGGGAACACTCAGGAGATTAGGTCCTCTTAGTAAGAGAAACTTACAATGCAAGACTGGGAATGTCTCCCTATTAACAATAGGGAACATGTCTTTGTTGTTTACAAGGCCGCTCGAAGAGCGAAACTGTGAAAATGCATGGTCGTGCTCAGATGGATTTTTGAAATCATCTACTTATTGACAGTCGAACTCGGAGATCGAGAAACACTTCTGAATGTAATAAGGATGACGATAAATCTTACCTTATAGCTCACGAAGAGACATTAAGCGACATAGGAAATGGGCTATACACTGTATGCACACTTGTCCGGAAGGACAAGTGGGAGATTGAAAGGAATGGTGTCCTTCCAACAAGTGTATTATTTTGATACAGGGTTCAGAATTATTACAGAGCTAATTCTTCAGTAAGGTCAAGTGATCGGAATGCCTAGGTGGAGGCCGCTTCCGATCAGTAATATTAAGGTATAATTAATATTACAGCTTAATCTTAACTGAATCCTTTGGGTCGAACCCAATCGAACAACAGATCCGAGACGACGAATTAATCCGAAGGATTTAATGAGTCGTCGGAGTTTTACAAACACAGACGTCGGATATCGAGCCTAGGGCGTCGAGACCGAGCGTCGCAAAATCACAATCGACAAATATGAGCGTAGCCGTAGCATCACACTGGCTTAGCCATGTGGACTGCTAGGCTGGGCTAGCTAAACGCGAGCCTAGACGCACCGTGCGTGCTAGGGGCACTAGGCAGCCCATCGCAGCACCATGTGCGTGTGTGCATACCTTCGCAAGGCACAACAGCACCGCAACATGTGTGCATGGGTGCCTAGGCACCATCGCAGGCCACGCACCAAGCACAGCATCCTTGCGTGTGTGCGTGTGCGTAGGCACTATCGCAAGCCACGCACCAGGCACAACATCCTTGTGTATGCGTGTGCGAGTGCTAGTGCGTGCCAGCTATGCGAGAGGCGATGCCCAGCATGCGTGGCTCGCTAGCAGCACGCATGCTGGGTGGGCATGTGCGTGTTCGTGCGAAGGGGAGAGCCAGGAAGCAAGCAGCGCCCAGAGCCCAACGCCTAGCAAGCCGCAGCGTGGGCATCACCCAACACAGCAGCATGTAGCGCGCATGGCTGGCTTGGCTAATGCTTGCTGCCTTATGTTGGCTGGCTGGGCTAGCTAGCAGTGGTAGCTAGCATGTTAGCTAGCTGCCAGCCCAACAGCCTCCTATGCCGGTTTTGTGAGGGTGGGGCCCAACCCTTGGGCAAAGCCTTGGGGAACAAGGCAATGGTCCCCCCCACCTCTCTTGGTCCTCACCTAACTCTCTCTCTCCCCTTGACACTTGTTACATTGTGATTCCATTTAATTAATTATTTAATTTAGAATTAAATAAATTAATGCTTTTGCAAATGATCCCACATTGATCATGAACAAGGGTTTCAAGTCCCTTTTCCCTATAAATACCAAAGGTTTGGCATTTGGGAAAGAATACACTTGAGTTGAAAAGTAAAGGAAACTCCATTGTTGAGCATACCTTGAAATTCGTAAAACTCTAGTTTCTTTTGTCCGGGCCTTGACTAACCTTCGAGGCTTAGGACGATCGGGTCGAGTTCGAGGGTACGATCACGTTGGAGACCTCGCACTATCGGGGTTCAAGTAAAAGCTCATAGTTGAGCGAAGCACGCGTCAAAGGTATAATCTTTTATCCTTTCTTATGCTTTAAATTATGTTTTGCTTGTTAATTGCATTTATTATGGGGGCGGGTCTTGGCGGGTTTCTTTCGGCGTAGTGTGGGTCACTACGAAACCCAACAAAAAATCCCCCGACCAGGCGATAGGCGCCCAATCGGGCGCGAGAAATACACCGATTACGAGGAAAAATCGTCCCGACCGGGCGCGAGCACAGCAATCTGACGAAGCCAGATCGCCTGACCGGGCGTCTCCCCGTGTTTTCCCCTCTTCTTTCTTCTTCTTTCTATTTCCTTCTTCTTTCTTTCTTCCTTAGTTTCTCTTTCCTCCATTGTTTCTCTCTATAAAACCTTTATTTTCTCTACTTCTCTCTAAGATTTCTCCTCCATTTCTCATCCAAACTCAAATTTTTTTTACATATTCTTCTTCCTCTCTTCAACCTCTTTACATCTACACTAATTTGAGTTGATTTTGGAACAAAAATTTTGTAGACCCACAAACATGGCAAGTAAAAGGGCAAGAACACAAGGTGGTGTACTTGGCTCAACCTCAAGGGCACCAATTGATGAGGCTCTACAACTAGATGCGTGGCCGACGATCCAGATCGCGACACCGCAACAACGGAGCCGGCTCATAAACCTCTTCGACCAGGAGGTACATTCTTCTCGGTGGTTACACTGAGACACTCTAATTGCTTTAGGTGTCTACGACCATATTAGGATATTTATGAATGATATTGGAATGCGGAAATTTTTTGACATGTATTATCCTACGCGTAGAGAATTAACTTGTGAATTCCTATCTTCTTTACATGTTTATCAATCTAGGAATGGTCCCATCTTGCATTTTCGTTTGAATAATAGAAATTTTGATTTAACATATGTCTAATTTGCAAGATTATTTGAGCTTGATCCCCATCCCCCCATCCAAATGCATGAGGACTATAAAGCTGACAATGTATATTTAGCTTTGACGGGCAAACCCTGCCGTAATATTCAGCATTGTAGTTCACTTCCTTTTCACCACCCCATCCCAAAAATCTTTCAAAGATTTTCCGGGACTTGATTTTTGGCCCACCACAAGCCTCATAATGCCCAATCCTTGGAGCTAGATATCCTAAGGCACTACATTTTTTGTTATGGTAAATTAAACATTGCTAAATTTATTATTAGCCATTTAAGTAGGCATGCCAACACTAGTGATACCAATTCAATGTCAAAACCCCTATTCACTTTGGTGGCCTAATCATTAGGATAGCGATTAAAAAGGCAGGGCTTAGTGAGACTAGCTACCAGGGGTTGACCAACTGTGCAGGGGGGGCACTTTTCAGAATTTGCCTTACTACTAACACTTGAACTGGGTTAAGACTAACCACGCCAGGTCCTATAGTGGCAAGTAAAGTTAGGGAGGGATTATGTGCTTGTTTTTCCTCTCCCTAACTCAGACTTGACCGCCTTCCCTGCTGGGCAGCAGTCCTACACCTATGACCCGTCTGCTTGCACAGACCCAGCCACAGCCTCAGGTGCATGTGCCACAGCCACCCCCATACCAGCCTAGGCCGGACCCCGAGACCATTTGGGACCTACAGAGTATAGGTCAGGCTATAGGTAGGATAGAGGAGGCTCAGGGGGAGCTTAGGACACAGGTGGGAGACATTAGGCGGCTAGTTGGTTCCCTTGACCAGAGGGTGAGATATGTTGAGAGAAACATGGGTAGGGGACTTTTCCCGATGTACGACGACTATGCTCGTCGTGGTGTTATACCTGCTGACTCTTTTTACCCTGACTGGTTCCAGCCACCACCCCAGTGATACGTGGTTCCCGACTCCCGTGATATATACACATACTACTCCTCATTCTCTGGCTATGGCCAAGACTTTCCTTTTGGGGGGATGGGAGGTAATGTTAACCTTAACTACTTTGGTGGGAGTTCTTCTGGTGCAGGTGATAGTGGTGGAGGATTTGGGACGATGGATGAGGATGGTGCCGATTAGCCATGTTGCGGCTAGTTCCCGAGCCAATGAGGACATTGTCTGATTTTGGCTTGGGGAAGATTTTTAGATTGAGGTATCTTATTTCTTTTCTCTCTCTTTTTGTTTTTGGTGTGTTTAGTTTAGCTTTATTGCTTTCTAGTGTAGATTTTATTGCTTTGAAAAAAGAAAAGAGACAAAAAAATTGAAAAAATAAAAAAAATACAAAAATACGAACCAATGAATGATAGATCATGCTTCCCTGTGCCCCATACATGTAAATTGTTTTTATTCTTGGTATATAATGATGAATATTGTGGATAGGTTAGCCATGATTTGATGTTTGATTGCTTTGATGCCCTAATTTGAGTCAACTTTGTCCAACTATTTGTGGATTTGGTGCTTGACTAGTTGATTTGGTTAGGAATTATGTGTTAGTTCCTGGTATGTCAATGAAGTTGAGTATTGGTTTTTTAACTTTGAGTAATGTTTGTATGGCTCATATTATGCACATCGAGGAGGACGAAGGCATTTGTTCTTTTAGGTAGCCTTCAGATGATTTTAGATACATTTGTTCCCTTCTTGCTTCCCATGTTGTTGCCTTGACTTTTCATTGTTGTATAGCCACATTACGGTTACTAGTCCCAAGCTTGGCTTGGGGGAGCTATTAGTGAGTAAGGTGATGGAGTTTGTA